CGATTCTAATGTTTTTGTCAAGAGACCGAAACGTTAGAGCCTCCTCGGCAGGCGGGGCCGGGGAGCCCAAGTGGCCGGGAGCACCCCGCCCCGGCCGGGCGGCAGGAAGCGGAGGCAGCGCGGGCCCGGGAGCGGCCTTCGGGCGGGGCGCGCCTCCTGCTCGAGCCTCGCGGAGCAGCCCCGGGAGGCGGGAGCCCCGCGCCGGAGCGCGACCCCGATGGCAGGCCCCCGAGGGCGCCGCCCTGGACGAGCTGTCCCGGAACTTCACGTACGGGGCGCTGGGCGCCGGCAACGGCTCCCTGTCGGGCTCCTGGTACCGCAGGAACCAGGTAAGGGCCGCGGGCCGCCGCCCGGTGCGCACCCGCGCGGGCCCCTCCTCGGCGCCCTCCCGCCAGCTCTCAGCCCGCGGTCCACGTGGACCCGCCGACCCGATGTTTGCACACGCTGACGTCACTGCCCTCGAGTGGGAGAGCGGGCGGGGGCGGGGGACCCCCGGCTTCCACCCCCGGGCACCAGTCACCCCCAGTGGGCGGCAGGGGGGCGCGCACATCCGCGGCTCTGACCTGCGCACGTCATTCCTGGGCCGCTGGGTCCAGAACAGCCCGCCGCTCCTCCCGGAAGGATTCTTGGGGTGCGGGGTGAATCCTCCTCCACCCGTATCCCCCAGGATCGTGTCACAGTTAACGACAGGCACAGCCCTTTCTCAGAAGCAGGGGACGCATGGGGGCCCCCGCGCAGGTGCCCGCTGCGCGCCCCGCGTGTGCGTTCCCAGAGCCTCTGCCGCTCCCCGTGTCCGCGCGCAGCACCGTGCTCTGGGGGGCACTTCCCTGGCTCCCCCCTTCTTTCTGACCGGCCCTTTAGGAGCACTGCCAGCCCGAACAACACCCGTTTACGCTGCAGATAAACATTTAACAACAGCCAAGGGGCTTGGAGCTGCCCTTTACCTTGGGGCTTGGTTTAAGGTCAGGAAAAGGGCTCCGCGGGCCCTGCTCTGGCTGCGTTTATCCTCTTTCTAGTGGGGACCAGTGATCGGAGAGGGTGGATGGCAGGCTTCCGTGTTACTTTGTTCCGGTTCTTTGACAAATCCGTGGGCCCTTTTATTTTACAACAATATAGTCACAAAGTATTTGTTGCTGCTGGTCTAAAGCAGGGTTTTTTAACCAATAAGCAAATGTCTAGGATCCTTTTATGCGTAAAAAGCGTTTTGAATGTCGGCTTCTTGAAATGTTGAAATGTCATTTTCAAAAATTTAACACAAGATTATTTATGTAAAGACAAAGTAAGCATGTTCACCGTAGCTTTCCACAGAGGGGGGAGTGTTGCTTTAAGTCTTACCACAAAATATACTCAAACAGGAAAAATGTGGGGCCCCAGCGCCTCTTGATGACTGTATGTAACCTATTCCCTGTCTTCTTTCTTCTCACAGGAGTTAGAAAATGGCTTTCTATGGGAAGTTCTTTGAGTATATGTTATATTATGCTAACGCTAGTAGATGTTATGAGTGTGTTATAAAGTGCTTATGCGAGAAGCACTCCCAATAAGAGTTTAGGAATGGCTTTTTCTCTTTTAGTAAAGAAATTAGAGTGTTAAGTACCTGTGAGCTACCATGGCATCATCCAAAACAGGAGACACCATTGTTTTCACAGTGGAAACCGCTGTCGTCATTAGTTTTCCTTTATTTAATGTTTCCTGGAATTCAAGACTGTCTTGGCTTTCTGACGCCTGACTACAGATGACCATGTGACATAAATGCAAGGACTTGGTTTGCAACTCTTGCCTTTGACGATATATTTATACAGGTTAGAAAGGCTATATCCAAAATATGCTAATTGAAATGACTCAGCTGACATTTAAACTATAGCTAGTTTGAGGTAAGACCATATCCCATTATTGTGCAAATTTAGACTGTCTTATAAGACTGTCATATTTTACCCTTTCAGTAATTGCATTTGTTTGTAAGCAAAAGTAAAAATTGATTTCTTTATTCATTTGGCCAACATTTTATTGAATGCCTCTAGTGCTGGCCAGGCCAATAAAAGTAAAATGGAGTTTAATTTTTCTTCTTTTTTTTTTCTTTCTTTCTTTCTTTCTTTTTTTTTTTTTTTGACCTGACTAAAAATAGAAGGCTGAAAATGAGGGTGGCTGAAGAAAAACAAAATGTGAAATAAAACTTTAGGACTCCCACACTCAAAATTAGCCTTGGTTACTGGAAAGCCAGCGTTTAATCAGTTTTATCACAACTTAAATATTTGGACAGTGTCTGTTGACTGATAGCCCCGCTCTCTGCGTCTCTCCAGTGATAACCATCAGATCTGATTAATTAACCTCACTCCCAGAAAAAGACCAACTCCCCTGAAACAGTTTTCTGTAAGAGATGAATAGTTAACAGTGGCCTCCTAGAATCAGTGTTGTCTCGGGGGATGACTTGAGTACTTAAAGGAGGAAACCTCAAAGCAAGCAGAAAGTAGTAGTAGGGGAAAAAGTAGTTGTGGGGAAGATGTTTTGAGAAGCCAGGGAAGTAAGGCCTGCCTATACAAGTGTGGATGCAGTAGAGTTCTACAAAGATATTTATGTCTGAGCCACAAGTTTTCAGTATAAAAGGACAATGTTTCTACAATGGTTATTGCACTCCCTGCTTTGTACAAAGCACTGTAAGGATATTCAGCACACAGTAGTCTCCCTCCATCCTGTGGGGCTATGTCCCAGGACCCCCAGTGAATGCCTCAAACCACAGATAGTACCGAATCCTTGATATACGATGCTTTTTCCTATACATACATGCCTGTGATAAAGTTTAATTTCTAAACGAAACACAGTCAGAGATAAACAGTAACATAGCAGAATAGAACAATTGTATCAATACACTTTGGTATTAAAAGTTATGTGATTGTGGTCACTTTCTCAAAATATCTTATTGTAACTACCCTTTACTTGAAATAAATGGCGTGGTGTCACAGGTTCGGGCAATCCCTTGCTGAAGTCTTCCTAGAGCAGTGGTTCTCAACGTTGGCTGCACATTAGAATCACTTGGGAATCTTTTTAAAATCCTGATTTCTGGGCCTCATCCTCCGGAAATTCTGTTTCTTTGTTACTAATGTTGTGGCTCCTCCCCATAACAAAGAAACAGAATTTCCGGAGAATGAGGCCCAGAAATCAGGATTTTACAAAGATTCCCAGGTGATTCGAATGTGCAGCCAAGGTTGAGAACCACTGCTCTAGTAATACTTGGCCCTCATTCCCACGTGGTAACTGTGAGCTGGAGTTGATAGTTTAGAACAGCTGTGCTCCCGCGTAAGCCTCTATCTTTGCTCTCATCCTTGGACCTATTGGCCCTGTAGGCAATTTGCAACCAGTGTTAGAGACTGTTGTCTATTCTTCGCTGTTGACTGGCTGAGTGTTCTTGGGCAAGTCACTCTGAGCTTCACTTTCTTTACCTGTAAAACTAGGTTTGAAATAGTTCTCCAGGCCCCAAATGCCAAACCGCCCTAGCCGGTTTGGCTCAGTGGGTAGAGCATCAGCCTGCGGACTGCAGGGTCCTGGGTTTGATTCTGGTCAAGGGCACATGCCTCGGTTGCAGGCTTGATCCCCAGCCCTGGTCAGGGTGCATGCAGGAGGCAACCAGTCGATGTGTCTCTCTCATCATTGATGTCTCTCTCTCTCTCTCCCTCTCCCTTTCTCTCTGAAATCAATAAAAATATATTTTTTAAAACTAAAATAAAAAATTAATGCCAAATCAACAAGGTTTTAGAGGAGATAGAAGAATGTGGGAAATAATGTGAAGGAGTTTTGCTACTGGTTCTTTAAGTTTATGCATAGCATATTGCTAAATATATAAACTCACAAGAACGTTGTCAAAAGGTTCATACTGCATAGGGTGAATGGAAATGCAGAATTTTTGATGTCCTGTATTTGAACTTTTGATTTTCAATGACTTGAATTTTTAAAGTCAACATATTTCAAGGAAAACTGATACAACTTGGCAGGGAAGAGGCAGAGCAAAGAGACTGACATTTGTTATGCATTTACTGTGTGACCCTTCATAGCTATTGTCTCATTGGAGCTCCCAGCAACCTCGTAAGGTACACATTATCCTCACTGCTCATGTCAGGAAACTTGCGTTAAATAACTTGCCTCAAGTTCTTACAGCAAGTAGGTTTAACTGCAAAGCTATTTTTATTCCATGCCTGAAGGCCATTGCTTAGAAACTAGGCTTGAAAAGAATGTGGTGGTGAGAGTAAATGGGGGGGGGGGGGAGTGAATGTGGCTTTTCACAGTGTTCTAAAAAAAAAAATGGCGTTAGTTTCATATCGCCCCTTTATTGATTTTGCTTTCCCTCCATCTATCTCTTGTCTGCTGGTAGCTGCATCTTACTGTCTCTTAAAGAAAGAAAAGTGCCAAAACTTACAAATATTCAAAGGACCAGGTACAGGTTGCTGAACCTCTCCATTCCCTTCCCAAGAAAAATCCCTTTTTTGGTTTTCTTTTAATATTGATTCTTTTTTTGCCTTCCTGATGTATATCGCGTGCACATCCCCTTTACCCAATATTCTGTGAGATATGTGTATAAGGCAGCAAGAAGAGGGAAGAAAGAAACGGATTACCTCAAAGCAACTCTGTCAGAGCTTTTGTAATAATAATGAGAACCCCGTGGTTCTTGTTAGAGGAATGGAGTTTTAATGCGCGTGTGGGGCTTGGCAGACCAGGTGTTTGCATTTAAATCGACCTGCTATCCTCTTTATGGCTTGGTTCATAGGAACTAGTATGAATATTGGCATTGATGCAATCAGAAAAATTCGGGCTAGGGGCAACTTTGCCAGTTCATGGGTTTACAAGACTCAGTTTCCTCATAAATCATGTTTACAAGAAAAACAAAGGGAGAGAATGAATGGAGAGAGAACCTGTAGATTAAAATAGACCGAGCCGACCCATTTCTAATTTTTTGAGGTACCTCCATACCACTTTCCACGGTGGCTGCAGCAGTCTGCATTCCCACCAGCAGGCTTTCCACGGTGGCTGCAGCAGTCTGCATTCCCACCAGCAGTGCACGAGGTTTCTCTTAGTGATTCCACTTCTGGAATCCGAAGAAACCTGAAGCGCTAATTTGAAAGGATATACCCACCCCTACGTTCATTGCGGATTATTTACAATAGCCAAGATTTGGAAGCAGCCCAAGTGCCCATCAGTAAATGAGTGGTTAAAAAAGTTGTGGTACATTTACAAATTGGACTACTACTCGGCCATAAAAAAAGAGGACATTTTGCCTTTCATGATTGCATGAGTGAGAGTATTATAATACCTGGAGCGTATTATGCTAAGTGAAGTAAGCCAG